GGAAGGAAGGAAGGAAGGAAGGAAGGAAGGAAGGAAGGAAGGAAGGAAGGAAGGAAGGAAGAGCTGTGGTGGTTCAGTAGTTAGAATGCAGTACTGCAGGATAACTCCGCCAACCACCAGCAGCTCAATTCTGAACAGCTCAAGGTCGACTCAGCCTTCCATCCTTCCAAGGTCAGTAAAATGAGGACCCAGATTGTTGGGGGGAAATAGGCTGACTCTGTAAACCACTTAGAGAGGGCTGTAAAGCACTGTAAAGCGGTATATAAGTCTAAGTGCTATTGCTACGCTATGCTATTTTTCACGCTTACCACCATAGTATTATTTCCATGGTCATGTGATCAAAATTGAGATGCTTGACAACATATTTATGATGGTTGCTGTATCCAGGGGTCATGTTTTCCAACCTTCTGACAAGCAATGGAGAAGCCAGATTAGCTTAACAGCCGTGTTGTTAACTCAACAACTGGAGTGATTCAATTAACAACTGTTGCAAGAAAAGTCATAAAATGGGGGCAAAACTCCCTTAACAAACGTCTTGCTTAGCTACATAAATTTTGGATTCAGTTGTGGTCCTATGTTGAAGACTACCTGTATTTACAAAGAGCAGCTACAAAACAAATGAAGCCTTTGAAAATAAAAGTTGTAATCACGTGGTGCTACAACAAACAGAAATGGGACATAGTGGCTCAGGGACTAAGACGCTGAGCTTGCCGATCAGGAGGTTGGCAGTTCAGCCGTTCGAATCCCACGTAATGGAGTGAGCTCCCATTATTTGTCCCAGCTTCTGCCAACCTAGCAGTTCAAAAGCATGTAAAAATGCAAGTAGAAAAATAGGGACCACTTTGGTGGGAAGATAACAGTGTTCTGTGAGCCTTCAGCATTTAGTTCTGCCAGCCACATGACCAAAGAAATGTCTTCAGACAACACTGGATCTTCAGCTTTGAAAAGGAGATGAGCACCGCCCCCAGAGCTGGAAACAACTAGCAAGTATATGCCAGGGGAACCTTTACAACAAACAGATACCCAGCAAGTTTTGCAGAGCAGAGAATCCTGTCATTATAAAACTTGCTTTGTAATTACTTAATACATAAAAAATAAATGCCAATTCCTGAAATTCATTAGCTAAACTTGCTTATCCATCAATCATATTTTTTTTTGCATTTGCTTAAAATGAGTATGTTTAAGCTAAAATTCTGTTTTACCTACATATGAGTTTAGCATTTATAAATGTAAAAACAGATCCGAGGTTTTTTTTTTCTGATCTCTATTCTAACGATCAGAAAGTAGGCTAACAGAATCTGTCATGGACAGCCAATAATTTGGACTTACTTTTTCTTATTCAATTCTCCCATAGCAATAAAATAAATAAATAAACCTTCTTCTTAAAATGTTGCTTCTATCTTCTCTCTTAAATTTCTGGCAAAGAACATAAACAGGAAAACATCAGGGGCCTTACGAGTAAAACGAAGTTAATGTTCCCTGCAAAGATTTCCATGGACCGTATAAGAATAAGAAAAAAACAGACAAAGGTGGGGATTAGTGCCTACAGTGGGAGCTGGGGAGTACAGCCAGTTAGAAGGAAAATGACTAATACCCCTGATGAAAGACAAAAACCACAGAGAAGCAACCAGCGGAGTTATCCCGAGCCCTTTTTATCTTTTGCTAGTGACCCCAGCAGCCGGAGTAGAAAGCAAAACCCCAAATCTACTGAAATGATTCCACAAGGAACAATATATGCTCAATTTATCGTTGAAGAATGGACTGTCACAGTAAAAAGAAATAAAATATAAATAAGATGAAGATCATATGTGGAAAGATGCTGTGAGAATTTAGATTTATGGGCTACCGAACAAAAGATGCTTGAGAAATTGTACAGTCAAATCTAAACAGTGTAGTGTAAAACAGAATATGGAATGTGGAATATAGAATATAGAATAGATTAGAGAATAGAGGAGAGGATAGGATAGGATAGGATAGGATAGGATGGGATGGGATGGGATGGGATAGGATAGGATAGAAATATTCCTAATTGATGGATCCATCTTATCGTTAAAAAAAGCCTGCAAAATATTTCAGAACTGATAAATCATGTAACTGAAAGAGACTGATCAATATATTTAAAGACTTGATGATGTAACCTAGTTTGGGTAATGAAACATCTGCAAGAAAACCACCAAACTCAGAGAGCACCAAAGACCCCCTCATTTCAAGCCCGAGCTACAAATATTCTCCTTTATCTGCATTTATTTATTAACTTGTCGAAAGAGCAGCTAGATATTTATAAGCCAGGTAATGGAAAAGAAATCTCCCACCTGGGAAAATAGTCTATTACAGGATTAGATGGCTGGAGCGCAGTATCTTTAGGTAAAACAACTTTAGTAGAATATAAATGG